TAACTGTTAGGATACCAGTATTATGTTGTAACTGTTAGGATACCAGTATTATGTTGTAACTGTTAGGATACCAGTATTATGTTGTAACTGTTAGGATACCAGTACCAGTATTATGTTGTAACTGTTAGGATACCAGAATTATGTTGTAACTGTTAGGATACCAGAATTATGTTGTAACTGAATTATATATTTTTGTGGAGTTTAAAATGAAAATGGAGTTTATAATGTATAAAACATACTAAAACATTACGCTGTTTTACCCCCCCCCTCCCGCATTTTATTATTTGAGTTTTACAGCGTTGTAGTAGTATAATTAGTACATGCTAACTAAATCAAGAAGTATTTGTTTTCAGTTAGGAAAACATGTATTACATATTTCCCAAATAATTTTAAACTTAAATTTTTGTTTTATCAACGTACACCGAATAAATATTTTGATTTTTAGCACTTTTTTAGTTTTTTTTTTTAATAGGAGAACATACTGTTGCGTTCTTTGAGTTTTAAAATAATCACGTGATATGACTTAGAAATTCTTTTTGAATATTTTATTTCAGTGTCAAATATATTTTTTTCATGCGCTTTGCAGTGAAGACATAATGTTGAAGCTTGTGGAATCGCAATATAAAATAGCTTTGTTCATTTATAGCATCACATATTTTATATATTCATCTGTCATAAAAATATTTAAAAAAAAAACTAAATGTATGAAGGTGAAACACAAACGGAAAAATTGGGATTTTTCACTAAAAAGAAAAGAGCCTATAAAAATGAATATTTCGAAAATTATTCCTAAATTCATTGTATTATAACAATGTTCAGTCTTCATACCATGTAACAGTTATTTAAGCTATTCGCCAGAAGAAAAGTTGTTTTCATGTGAACTCAGAAAGAAGTGTCCATCAAAGTATTTATTTAATTTTGCCTAATGGTAAAATTATAACGAAACCTTGTTGAAATTTATCTTACAAGAAAGTGCTGACAAAATTAAGCATTTTCTTTAAAGATACAACAAAAATTTAACGTGTACTTCTTTTACATAAAGCTTTGGTTTCAATATTTTAATTGATAAGCCAGAAGGTTTTCGAATTATTTTCCGAAAAATAAAATTATATATATATACGTATAAAACGAAAGTAAATTCTTTTATAGCAAGATAATTATTTTAACATTCTGGTAAATCTCTGAAAGACAGGCGACTACTTGTCACAAACATTTATACAAATGCTATAGTTTTGATGAGTCGTTGGTATATTAATCTGGTTGTTGTCCTAATTGGAACTACTACTGATGACTATTTCTTTAACTTCACATATTTTTATAGAACTTCTTCTTCTTCTTCGGTGTCATGGCTGCATGTGGCCCCCTCGCCCCCTGAATGTCAGTAGTTTTAACTATTTTGGAGGGTCAAGCGAGGCCTAGTGGCTAGAGTGCTGGACTGTGGTGTTGAAGTTCAGTATTTCGCGTCCGTTACTGTTAAAAAATTCACACTCCTCGTTTTTGGCCTGTACATTCGCTATAAGAGTGACGGCCTAATCCCACTATTCTGTCTAATAAAAGTAAACCAAGAGCTGGCGGTATGTGGTTTTAACTAGTTGCCTTCTCTTTAGTCTATCACTTTATAAAATTAGGGACGGCTAGCATAGAAATCCTTCGTGTAGTTCTGCGCGAAATACAACAACTAAAGAACCACTATTATTGATGATTTAACCTATTTTGGCTGCGATCTTTCTTGGACTTTTATGTTTCTTATCTTATAAAACAACATAATTTTATCTTGTTTTGAAGCAGAAAGTAAATTAATTCGACTTAAA